GTTTCGGCGAGTTTTTTTTAAAAAAAAATCAAAGGGAAGTTCCCAGATGTTATTCATCTCTAACTTGCGGGGTTTCCCATCTGGGTTCAGAATTGGCCTGCTTTCTGCTTAAACCATCGCTATTGTGCGAGCTGGTGTCCACATTCCACTTCAATTCAAACCTCTTATAGTGAGAGCTTCCAGGATGGAGGGAGCGGGAGGGGGTGAGGGAGGGAGAGGGGCGGGGGAGAAAGAAATGAGTTTAAACACCCTCTCGACCCATACTCATCCTTAAGAGCTGCAAACTTTTCTCACCAAATAATTAATTCGGTTTCCTTCCTCCTTTGTTGCTCTTTGAATTTCACGTTAAAACCATTATTATTATTATTATCACCACAAGAGGAAACTCAAGCCATTCACACTCCAGGCAGAAGGGAAGAGAGAGGGATGGGGAGAGCGGTCAGTAACAGTCTTGCCACCAAGTCAGAAGGTTGTGGACTCAAGACCACGCCAGGACTTTGAATTAACACGGTCTAGGCTGACTCTCCAACGCCAACACTAACTGGCTCAGACTCTAAAGATCAGAAAGAAGAAAGACTTACATTTTAAAGTGCTTACGCCACAGAAATCTCTCAAAATCATCCAGTTTAATGACCAACAAGCCTGGCAATGGAATCTAGGAATCGAGTCACTTCTCTGTGGTTGTCGCGATGGCCCGACCGGTGCCTGAGACAGATGGGTGCCCAGTTATCCAAGGCACTATTGACGTTGGACCAGCCTGGCTCGTCAGTAGACTTGAGATAGCGGAGCAGAGGAGAGCAGTCACTGGAGCCTGGGATTCTTGCCACTTGGCTCTTATTAAAGCTGCAAATCCAAGCCCTTATGGGTAGGGTGGTCCTAGCTGGACAAGGAACAGGAAGCTTGCCAGGCAGTGAGTGTTTGAACTGTGTTAAACCCAGGAATACCCCAATGTCCCCAAACCTTGACTCTTGCCAACTTGCACCCAAATTCCCGGGGATTGGGCGAGCAGGACATTGCCCTCTGGGGAGAGAGTGCCCGCTGCACGCCAAACAAACAGAAACCACAAGTACGTGGCTGACCAGAAAATAAATCTGTAAAGCAGTAAAGTTCCTACAGGTCTCGGAACAAGGAAGCCTTTCCTTTCAGCTTTGATCACCTAGAGGTGCTTTCTCACCCTGTTCAGGCTGCGATCTTATCATTGCATTAAGACATGCAACGCTGCTGTGGGCCTACACGCGCTGAGACTCCACTGCGTGCCCGAACGGGAAGGCATTAAGCATGGCCTGGGAGATCGGAGTGGAATGCGCTTGATGAGCATTTTCTGGAATGCGTGTAGGTGCTCGGAACATAGCGCGGTGATAAATATGAATGATAACATCTCACTGGAAGGAATCCTTCACATCTCTTCAAACCCTCTTCGCACGGCAGGTTTCACTCGGAGATCAATCAATCAGCGCTGACTTCAATTGAGCTACAGACCTCAGGGGCACCTGAATTGACAGTTTGGGGCTTTTTGGTGGTTGGGGTGAGGGGAGCAGCTGGGTGTCTGACACAGAAAGCCATCACCGTGGTTAAGAGTTTCCAAACCACATTACTGATGGGTTCCACAAATATATGGTTTAGGACTGTGTCTTCCTGGAAGAACCTAATCCTGGAGAGCATTAGGTTTGCGAGAGATATGGTTTGGGGGGGATTCCAGAGTAAGAGTTGGGGTAACTGCTGGAGTTTAACCAGCAAAACCCACGTAGCTTGCCACTAAGAGCCCTGAATAGAGAAAGTTTCTCCCAGTGTCCTGGACAACAATTCTGGTCAATCACCTCATTGCTCATTGTGGGACCTGCTAGAACTGGCCATCGTGTTTGGTTACAAAACCAGTCACTACACCTGACAGTGATTACCGTAATCTTGGCTTCGATGTGATGACGCACAATATAAAGGAAATTAAAGCAAAGCTGCAAACAGCACAGGGACTTGGGGCTCAAGACAATTGGTGGGAAAGAAAGAGAGATTGCGATTAGAGTAGAGAGCTCCAGTGGAGGAGCGAGCCCCAGCACAGATACCATGGGGAGGGCGGGGGGAGGGAGAGAGAGAGAGAAGGGAATGGGATTAGAGAGCTCCAGTGGGGGAGCGAGCCCCAGCACAGATACCATGGGGAGGGCGGAGGGAGAGAGAGAGAGAGAAGGGAATGGGATTAGAGAGCTCCAGTGGGGGAGCGAGCCCCAGCACAGACACCATGGGGAGGCAGGGAGGGAGAGAGAAGGGAATGGGATTAGAGAGCTCCAGTGGGGGAGCGAGCCCCAGCACAGACACCATGGGGAGGCGGGGAGGGAGAGAGAAGGGAATGGGATTAGAGAGCTCCAGTGGGGGAGGAGCACCAGCAAGGAATAACAAAGTATATTTGATCTCTTCGCCCAACCACAAACACAGTGAGGTCACTGACAGCCTCAGTAAATGCAATGTAAATGGAACAGAAAGCACTTTGCCTGTGAAGCAGCCTCACGCTGTGGTTCTTGGGGGGGGAGGGGGGCAGCATCTCTGACTGAAGTTTTTTTAGAAATGAATTAAGTAGTCCAGCGCAGCCCAGTCAAGGTGGAGAGATTGAGGAGGGCGAGAGTTTCAAAGTTAACGTGCAGTTCGTTATATACTTTAAAAAAACAAACATTGCACCACTTGGCCAGACAACAATATAAGAACATAAGAACTTGCTGGCGAAAGAAGGCTAAGGTCCATCCCGTTCGCCTTCCGCCATCCTGCCAGTCGCTTGACATGTCGTGTCCCAAACTATATACTGTATCTTTCCCCAGATATTACTCTCAAGCAGAAACATGGAGCAGAGAGCACTTTTTAATTCAGGTTTCACTGAACGCCACCTACCTGCTTTGGTGTCTGCCCTCCAGCCAGCAGGCAGCCCTGCTCCTCAAAGCCTGGGTTAGGGCTCCTGGGTTCAGCCTGCGCTCTGCCTCTCTCCCTGCTGCAGATCTGCTCCTTCCCTGGGACCTGGCGAGGCTCTGTGACCAGTCTCACCTTCCCCAGCTGTGCACAGGGCTCCTGACTGCTGGCCAGGCAGCACACAGACTGCGGAGCTGATTGGCAGCTGATCAGGGCTGGACTCAGATGATTTAGAGCTTGCATTGTGTGTGTGTGTGTGTCTCTCTCTCTGTGCACAGCCTGTGTGTGTGTGTGTGTGTGTTCACTGTCCACATTCCTCACTAAATGAAGACCAGGTTCCAATCAGAGCTCCACAGCTCACTCACAGGGAATAGGAAAGCAGAGAGAGAGAGAACGAGAGCGCAATGTCTGCTCTGTACTGGCAGATCCCGTTACAACATCAACACAGCAAAGCAGGGTCCCTCACACAGCCAACCTCATCGCTCCTCTACCTCTCTCTCTCTCACGCACACACACACACACAGAAGCAGGAGGCGTTTAGAGGCGGCTGTTGCATTCATTCTGTGTCAGAGCCGAGCCAGAGCCAGACTTCACAACAGACCACAGCAACACACTCCTGCTTTCTACCCTTTACACAGGGCACGAGGGCATCACCGTCTCAAGTGAAATGCAAAGCAAACAGTTTGCCACGAATGTGCTCAATATTTGTCATATCCCATTTGCCTCCCCCACCCCCCCTCTCTCTCTCTTGCGCTAACTGGCAAGAAGCCAAGACGTGAAAAGCGCTATATCAAATGCAAGGATTATTATTATTATTATTAAAGGCTAGAGAAGTCTCCTCACACTCAGTGCGTTCCCTCCAGAGCAGGTAACAGCTCAAACCACCCCAAAGGGGAACACTGGGTTGGGCTCTGTCCCTCAATCCCTCCGCCTCGCCCCCTCCCTCCCCACCTTCAAATCCTGCTAAAAACTTGCTTTTTGGATGGTGCAAATGGTCACCTACCCCCTCCCTCCCTCCCTCTCCCCCCCGGCTCAGGGTCACACTCCGCCCCGACACCCTACCCCGCGTGAAGGGTGCTGTGTAAATGCAAGTTGTTGTTGTTGTTGAATCGTTGTGTCCGGGGCGTTAGAGGTTTAAGCCAAAATGGAACGAAGTTCGAAGTTTACGTTCCTTCCTTAAGAAGTTTCGCCCACGAAACACAATAACATAATTAATAATTAATAGTTCATATTGCATTAACTTCACAATGTCTCACAGCACTTGACAAGAACGGGGTCAGACACCGAGCGCGGTGTCAGGTGGGGGGTGGAGGTGACTCCAGGTGCGGTCAAAGGGTTAGGCTTTCAGTTGGGATTTAAAGACAAAAAGAGAGAGTTGTTGTTGTTGTTGTTGTCTTGCCCCCTTCCTTCCCCACCCGCCTGAAGACCTTCCTCTTGGACCGTGTGCCTACAGTCACCTCCCCCCCAGCTCGGTGTCGTGCTCCGCCCCCACCAAGCGCTCTGGGGCTCTGCCCTGCGTGGCGGTGGCTGTGTCAATGCAAGTTGTTGTGGTTGTTGCCCGAACGCAAGCGAGAGCGAGGATCAGATCAGGCGAAAAGAAAAAAGAAAAAGCCTCCAAAGCACAATGAGCTCTTGTCAGCGCAGCAGGACAAACTGAAACAATAAAAAGATTTTAATAACTTCCATCTCCGCGGCTCGAGTGAGTTTCAGTGAAAACGACTGTCGTGAACAGCAGCAGCACTGCCGCTAAAGGGTTAAACCCTGAAATCTGAAAATCAGTGTAAAGGAGGGAATAGAATAACTGGGCTGGTTTCAATGGCAATGGACCTCCCTGGCTTGTTCATTCTTTCTGATCCCCCCTTCCCTCCCTCCCTCCCTCCCTCGCTCTCTGACCCTCTTGTTCTCAGACACACCAAAACACCCTCCTTTAAATCTTCTTCATTGGTGGAAGTTGCAGTGAAAGCAGAACAGGCAGCAGGAGAGTGATCTCGCCTCTCGGGGGAAGAGAGGCGAGGGGAAAGGGTCGGGGTGGGGGGGGGGGAAGGCAGGCAAGAGAAGAGAGGTAGGGAGTGGAGAATTGAGAGCTCTCTGCCAGGGGAAGCCACATTTACCTGTGATCGCTGCTGCTCCAGGGCCCCGCTGTAGCTATCCCAGTCCAGATCCCAGTCTGTTTCAGCCTCGAGCTCAGCTCCCTCCTCTGGTTCCCACCAGTCCGACAGTGAGCAAGATCTTGACATTGTTGGAGTGTCTTTCCTCCCTCCCTCCTCCCCCTGCTCCACACACACACACACACACCTGCACTCCAGCTAACTCACTCACTGCACAAGGGGGCAGGCGGGCAAGCTGTGATTGATTTATACCAACCAGAAGCAAGCAGTGTTTTAAACGGTCCTCCTTTCCCTTGCAGTTACACACCTGACAGACCTTTTCAACACACTTCTCTCACTCTCTGCCTAACTTTTGGGCTCCTTTCAAAAGAACATAAGAATTTGCTGACAAAAGAAGACTTCGGTCGAGCTAGTTCACCTTCCACCATCCAGTCATGTTGTGTCCCAAACTAGATACTGTCTCCCCAGATATTATTTTCGAGCAGAAATCTATCTCATTTGTTCTTGAACTAACCAACACTTGCTGCTTCCACCGTCTGTCTAGAATTGTCTAGAATTGTCTTTCTTCTCTCTCTCACTCTCCTGGGGTCTCCTTTCGTCCTCTCTCTCTTTGTCTCTCTCCCCCTATTTCCGCCCCAGTCTGACAATCTCCAAACACCTGCAGTCACCGCACAAAGATTTGGAAAGCAGGTCAACCTTCAGAGAGACACACACACAGACAGACTGAGTCAATGCTCTCTCTCTCTCATTCTCTCTGACTGATAGCAAAGTACAGTGAATGGTTAGTGCTCCGAAACACAGTGTGCGCCTTGACTGCACCCTTTCTCCCTTTCATTTTTTTTTGTGGGGGGTCAGCCGGGTGTCTGACCCATGCGGAAACCCATCATCATGCTAAAGAGTAACTGAGAATTCTGTGTATCCCACTCACACATGGAAATTCCAGAGACAGATTGTTGGAATGGAATGTGCCCTCTCTCTCCGCACCCCCCCACACCCCCGCCCCACTGGAGGGATGCACTCTGCCTCCCTTTCACACAGAAGGTGCACCCCCCCCCATCCCACCATGGCCTTTCTCACAGCCTCCAGGCCTGTGCTACCAAGTGCAAGCTACTGCACTCTTACTTAGGCCCTAATGGACCAACAGGTCCAACAACAACAACGTTTTCTCACGAGCTGTGCCGGTAACCAGAGGGCAGACTTGTCCCTGCCCACTGCAACCCTTACCCCAAAGCTCCCAGTATGGCAGAATGCCTTTTTTAATGCCCTGATCAAAAGTGGCACTGGGCTCCAACTATAACAACAACTTGCATTTGTGTAGCTCTCTTCACCCGGGGCAGTGTCTCAGAGCCTGGGTGGGAGCCTGACCTAACTACAGATGCCACTCCGCATTGAAAAATACATTGCGAGGGCTCGGGGTGCCTGCTGGAGTTTAAGCAGCTGAAAGCTTTCCACTTCAAAGACTGGCAAGCTTCCCATGATTTGCCCAGCTCAGCTGGGGCTGTGACTTGCAGGGGTAACAGAAGCTGAGCGGGAAGAATCGCTGCCCCCAGGCGCTGATACTGTGCCAGGCTGGCTGGTATGTCAAAGCAGGGCACTGAAGCTCTGTGAACCTGCCTGGCTCAGCCGGATTACCAGGCACAGTCACTGGACTGGAAAGGAACATTTCTAAACCACATCAGAAGCTCGTCGTTAATCTCAAGTATACCAGGATGACAGTGCTGTGCTGTTTGCACGTCACAAACTCTAAAGCCACACCGTTAATGTTACATTAGATACATTAGAATTTCCAGCACAGAAACAGGCCATTCGGCCCAACTGGTCTGTGCCGGTGTTTATGCTCCACCTGAGCCTCCTCCTGCTCTTCCTCAACTAAGCCTTCAAGCAAAACCTTCTATTCCTTTCTCCCTCGTGTACCTCTCCAGCTTTCCCTTAAAAGTTAACTTTAACGCTTAACACACGACGCCTACGCAGAAATACGAGAAAACAGAATTGAGATCTACGGGGGTAGGAGGTTAGGGCGGAGGGATTAGGAGGATGGAGGCTCATGTGGAGTATAAACGCTGAACGCTGGCGTGGACTAGCTGGGCCCAAGGACCTTGTTTTGATGCTGTAGATTCCACCAAATGTAACAGGCTGCGACATTGTTGAGTGCTCGGAGACGTTGCCCAGTGTGAAGAGCGTTATATAAACGCAACTACACTCCCAGCTTTGTAAACCAGCAGAGACAACACGTTGCCTTTTTATAACGTCTTTCACGTTGGGAGGACGGCCCCAGACGCCTGACCCTCATCTTGTAAAGCAGATCCACGAAATTACGTTACGTGGAGGCCGCTGAATAAATACATTTTTTTATATAAAAAAAAGCCAAAACGCCTGCCTTACTGACCAGGACGAGGGAGAATTTGGGGTCTGATAACTGGAAAACCCATTCCCACACATTTCCCTCATTGTTTGAGTGATGTTTTTGCTCTGTGCTAATATTGGTCGTAGTCCTGTGTTAGCAATGAACGGCTGTACCTCACGTGTTGACCCGATTCCAAGGCAACCGACCGCTTGTAAGGGATCTGTGCTCTGACTGTCCTCCCCTTCCCATCCCCTGAATGGGCCTTTGGGTACTCCAGACAGGGGATGGTCATGGAGAGCGGGCGGGGAGACGCGGCGGGGGGGTCAACATTGGCTACACAAGAATCATTGAGTCTGTAATGGCTGGTGTACAAATGACACTACTCGTTACCTACACGTTGTGAGGTTGTGGAGCTGTGTGAGCTCAAAGTCCGTACGTGGGGCTTGAGCTCACAAGCTTCTGACTCTCACGGGTGAGGAGTGATACCAACCGAGCCAGGCTGACAAACAGGAGCTCTGCAAACTCCCAGTCGGGTCAGTGAAGCGAAGTGAAACAAAGAGGACAATCCAACAGCTGGAGCAAAATTCACCGCAGGTTAATAAAGAATCGAAGGCCCAATCTTTCCCAGTCAGAGCCTAATCACACTGTCTCACTTATATGCCTCGCTGTCAGTCACTTACGTACTACTTGTTCTGTACTGCTCAAGGGGCACACAGCTGAGAGACACATCAACGCGGTGACTGAATGTAATAGGAGCGACAGACCGTGAACTCACCTCACTCTCCGCGGTGAAGTGACGAGTGTTGGTCTCCAGCCCCTGAGAGCGAGGAGACAGCGGGTGGGACTGGGCGGCCGACGGCGACGGCTCGAGCTCCTTCTCTCTCATCCCCACGTCCAGAGCCTCCGCTTGTGGCAGCGGCTTCACCTGCCAACAAATGTCACAGGTCAACAACACCGACAACTTGCACGGCGCTCCTCGCGCAGGGGGCAGCATCCCAGAGTGCTTCACAGTGCCGTGAGGAAAGGCACTAAAAAGAACTATTTCTGCCCCATTACATAAAATACATGGTCACATTCCTGACATTTATATAGTGCTTTTGCTGGAGGCAAAAAATATATTATTTAGGTATATTTTGCTGTATTTGAATGTAAGTTGTATAATCTCTCGTCGCTTTTCAAGGCCGAAAAGCCTCAGTTTACAATAATAATAATCCTTGCATTTGACATAGCGCCTTATCACATCGTTGAGACGTCTCACAGGTTGGCAAGTTGACAAGAGCCAAGGTTTGGGGACCTCAGAGTGTTGGGGTAACTACTGGATTCTAACCAGCTGAAACCACAGGGTTGATATTGCTGCCCGGCAAGCTTTCCCGCTGCTTGTCCAGCTGGGACCTCCCTACCCGCTAGGGCTTGCAGGGTTAACCGGAGCTGAGTGGGAGGATTCCTTGCCTCCAGTGACTGGTCTGAACTTAACTGATTTGTAACATAGCCCAGCACCCCACTTGCCTTGTTTATTGCGGCCTCACACTGCTTTGACATATAGTGAGCAGTAAATCAACTCACACCCCTAGGTCTCTTTCAGTTTCCGCCTTGGCAGGTTCCATCCCATTCACAGAGTATATGTGCCTCTTATTCTTACCTTCTATACACAAAACCGTACATTTTTTTATCTGTATAAAGTCCTAACAGTAATGCCTAAAGATCCTCTTTGCCTCCAAAAACAATCACAATACGTTTTGCTCACAAAATATACAGTCAATTTACTTTATAGTATATCCTGTGAAGCTTTGAGACCTCTCGAAGACGTGATAAGGCGCTGTATCAAATGTGAGGATTATTATTATTAGTTTACCCTATGTAGCGTTTTGAGACGTTCTCCTGACATGAGAGGTTTTGTATCAAATGTAAGGATAATTATTATTAATGATGATGATTATTATCTCACCCATCGCCAGTATTTATTATAAATACTGCATTTCTCAAATCTAAGGTGTGGGATTTTTAACTAAAAATTACCTCCACAAAGAGAGGGCCCCTTACAATCAATAACACCTTAGATTTGCAGTAACATTTCCTTTCTTTTCGGATTGGGTCATGGGATCTCAGGCACAGACAGGACCTTGTTTGAACGCCTTATCCGAAGGACTTTCAAAGTCTTTATATCAAGGCGCTATATCAAATGGTGAGCAAATGAATGATAATAAAGGGAAAAGTGAAGTTATTTACAATCCAGAGAGAGCTGCCTCCTGTGGAGAGCAGGTACCTTTGGCCTTAGCTTGTGGGCCCTTTGCTAAAGTAAAGCAGGTTTGTGGTTTCGCCAAAGGAAAACTGGCCAGGTTTTATACTCGCGTCCTGTTCATCTGGAGAGTTTCACACCTCGAGCTCAGAGGCTCGGTCAGGGCTGGCCATTAAATCACTTTTAATAAGGGATTAAAAAAAACACTTTCAAACTGTAATTGCTCCGTAAGCATTTCCTGACAGAATCAATGCCAACAATGGAACTGACCACTGAGTTCCTGGTGCACCCCAGTGTCTGCAAACACAATATACATTGATGAGCACCTTTCACATTGGTACCTTAGCCTAAACTGGAAGGTGGTGGGGGGTGGGGGGGCGTAGGAGGGAGTTGCTGCTTCTCCTCACTCAGCTTCTGAAAACAATCCCTACTTTGTTCGGGTGGTGCACCCAGTTCAGACACACAAACAGAGACACAGACGCACAGACAGACACCGAGCAGATTTGATTGGACTTGTTGCTAAAGCGCACTACTCCGGGTGAGTTACTCTGACGGCTGCTCTGGCTCTCTGTCTCTGTCTGTCTGTCTGATCTGCAGACACACACGCTTCTCAACATCATAATGCTGATCCACACACTTGATATAATACCTTTCGCCTCAGGAACAAGCCTGCGAGTGGATTTAATTCACTTTACAGTGTATTCTCTGAAACGCTTTGAGACGTCGCGAAGACGTGACAAGACGCTATATCAAATAACAGGGATTATTATTATTGGTATTGTTGTTATTGTTCTTGTGGTTGTCAGGTAATGCCTTTCACAGGTTAAAGAATAAGCTGGACATTGCTGAATGGCGGAGGCAGAAACAAGCACAGACGCGC